TGGAATATTTTGTTTATTAATTTATTTCTCATAATAATACTTTTTTTTTTTAAGATTTATCTATTTATCCATACAGAACTGAGGTATAGGCCAGAGGTGCATGGGCGGTGAGAAGATTGACCCGAGACAGAGAGGGGAGGATAATAGACAGATTGATGAAGTACACTGCTGAGGGGAGAGGCAGGTGAGACAGGAGAGGTCTGCTGTGTCATGTGGATCACCTCCGGGGCTAGGGATTGAACTCGCAGTGAAGTGGCTGTGGCTAGCTGGCAGTGCTGTGCTTTAACCTGTTGAGCTAATAGAGATGGCCTTTATAATAATTCTAAGAAAAATATACTATTATAACCAATTTGGGGCAAGAAAACTGAAGCAGAGAGAAATTATTTAAACTCTATTTAACAGAGTACTAGCAGGCAGAATAGATACATTTTCTCTAAGAGAAGCAGTTATTCTGTGTAAGTGATGCTGATCAGCACTGGAGACATAAGAAAAGACTATGAATAATCTTGTTGAACTGGAGCCACAAGGGGACAAAGTTTACTCTCAAGAAAACCATTTACAACCTTTTCTTTTCATTTTCACCTTTTGCTTATCTTTCTACTGATTTTTTAAGATGAAGTACCTAGAAAACATCAACTCCTTACAAGGTATGGCACCAGACATGTAGGTAAGACTCTTCCAAACCTCCAAGGTAGCTTTTTGATACAAGCAATGTTTGCAGTAGTTCCACATCTGCAACACACATGGGAAAATAGAGCTTGACATTAGCTCTAACAACAAAAGGCAAGATGCATTTGAAGAGCCACAACACATTGAGTAAAACAACAACAAAAAAATCCAATGTAAATGTTGGTTCTACACAAAGCAATAAATCAGTTTAACTTCTAAAGATGTCCTCATGCTGAAGTAAACTAGAAATTTTTTAAGAAGTCTGAACAGGCCCTCCCTGGTGGCACAGTGGATTGGGGCACAGCACTGAGAAGCTTAAGCCACTTCCACATGAGTTCAATCCCCGCCTGCCCCGGAGGTGACCACATGGCACGGCAGACCTCTCCTGGCCCGCCCGCTGCTCCCCTCAGCAGTGTACTTTGTCGATCTGCCTGTTCTGCTCCCTGCTCTGTCTCTGGTGAATCCTCTCATCCTCCGCGTCTCTGGCCTGTACCCCAGTTCTGTACAAATAAATAAATAAATCTTTAAAAAAAAAAAAAAAGAAGTCTGAACAAAGTCCTGAATATGTCTCCTGATTCAAATTAGTGGGCTCATGTGACTGCCACACTCCCCAAGGCTCCCAAGAAAGATGTGGAAGAGCTTGGATGCCTATCAGAGGGATGGCAACCTTCTCTGAAGCCTTGTCACTGACACCTTCAGCCAGCTCATCTCCTTTCTCTCATAGTCCCTAGCAGGGAGCAGATGGTGCTCATTTCCTATTTTATCTACACCTTAAAATAGACTCTGCTAGCAGAGAGACAGAAGGAGCCAAGAAAGCAAGCAGACTAGAACTGAGAAGAGGCAAGGAAACAGATTCTCTTGTCAGGGTTTCACAAGTAACACAAACCTGCTGAAACCTTTGGACTTTGATTTTAGGATTTCTGACATTTGGAATTGTAAGATCATAAATTTGTGTTACTTCAAACCACTAGGTATATGAAATTTTGTTATAGCAGTCACAGGAAGTTAATATACTTGTAGATGTTTGCATTTTCTGCCTTATATATATTTTTTGCCTTTCTCAATGCAGCTCCTTCTACAGATTGGGTGAGGTTCTATCTGCCTGATCTTCACTCTGGGTTGACTATGGGACTTCTTTGACTAATAGAATGAGCTGGAAGGGATGGTGTGCTGGTTCTGAAAGAGGCCTGAGGAAATTTTCTGTTTCTGCCTACTTTTGTCACTACCAAGATGAGGCATGCCTGGTCTAAGGAACATGGCTCTTTTTACCTCCCACTGCCAGGCTCTGCAGCCACCACCTGCAGTTTTGTTTTTATCCCAGGTTCATTACCCATGTATGATACTGTGTTATTGTAAGACAGTGCTTAAGAGCATGATCATGGGGCACACATACCTACACATATGGATATTTGGGGAGAGAAACCAGAGATCATGGGCACTGGAAGAATTGCCAAAAATTTGTTGCCTAAAATTAGGTTGCAGCCTGCCGCCTGCCTGCTGATCTGCCTGTGCATTCAGTCCCTTCCTTCAGCATTAAAGGCATGTCCCATGTACTCAGGCTCCACGGTTCTTTTTCCATTTGCCTTAATCAACATCGAACCAGCTGGCCTGAGGTCCTTACACAATACCTAGACAGGCAATGAGGAAGAGCTACCCTAGGTAAAGTATCCCAGTAGAGAGAGGCCTTAGCTGAGGCCAACAGAGCCCAATCTAGACCATTTGACAATCCTAACCCTTAGCTATAAAATGTTGTAAGTCACTGAATTTTGTGCTGCTTGTAATGTTTGTTTCTGCTGAGTAGTTAACATTTTAAGCAATTTTTATCTGGCTGGTCCTAATCTATACTTCATCACATTAGTTACTACAAAATGTACTAACTAAGAAAAAAGCAATCAAACCATTCTCATTCACTTATCTTCCCAACCTATCCTACCCCACCCCTGTGAACACATACAAGAGCTTACATTGTAGTAGTTTGTAGATGTCCTTTTCATTTGTTTATTGAAATTGCAAAATATAATAAGTTATATATACAGAATTAGACAAAAGTATTGACAATTAGGATTTCATTGGGTGAGTGGGGAGGGGGGTTCACAGCTCTAGCCCAGGTGTTTTCAAAATGTGTTTAAGTATAACAAAATGACAAACAGGGAGGGTGGTTCTAGCTTTGGGTCAGTGATAATCTTTAGATCTCATTGATTAAATTCCATAATGTTGGTTAAATCTCATCAGAATAATGCTTCCTGGGGTTTCCAAATAAGTAAATGACAAAAAATAAATAAATAATTTTTAAAAAATTAGTAAAAGACAAAGGGATGTGTAACTCAGTAAGGACTATCTCCCTAAACACAGCAGGTAGAGAGTAATGAAGCCTAGTGCAAAGTTGGCTGGGTTGGCTCCAGATTTCCAATAGTGTGAAATGAAGCCCCTAGAAGTGTCCCCTCTGCTTCTTTGCTGAAAAGCTCTAAGGAAGCTGAAGCTGCTGTCCTGGAACTCATTTGCATCACATGTGACATGTGCAGCCTAATAAAGGCGAGACTCTCATCATCATTATTGCAATGCAGGGGAAAGGGGCAGAATAGCATCTTAAAAAGAAATTAAAGGATAATTAAGGTTTATCTTGGAGGACTTAGCTTGCAGAATATACCAAGAAAGTTCTGAAAAACAGCAGCAAAAAGACAAAATAAGTGATGATATTAAATATTCAGGACCTATTGTGATCCTATCACAGTATATTCTACATTCATTGGTGGGAAATTGCTTGTTGGCTTTAAACATATTATTGATTTCCTTCCCCCAGAGCATTTGCTCAGTCATGCAATTTTAAAGGTATCACTTTGTAAGTCAGAGGCTAGTTTTAATTCAGTCACAACCACAAATAGACCTGTCATTAGGGAGCACAGCATGAACTCTCAATTAGCCTCCCACCTTGAGCCCTGCCCTGGCTTCCGAGCTCTAACAACTGCAGGTATGGTTTGCCAAGAACAATGCCAGTTCATTAAATAACTTTATCTCTAAATGTATGCCACATTATTGCAGTTACAATGAAAACCTCCCAAATCTGAATTTTTCTGTTTTTATTGCCAGTTTACATGATATCTCACATCATTTTCTGTTCGATGGAGAATCTAAAAGACCTGGCATTTCCCATAGCACCCTCTTTAATTCACCTGAATTTTACTTTTCCTGATTAGAATCACAGGATCATCTCTCATTTGCAGAAGAGAAACTGAGTCCTAGGGAAAGAGAAGAAAATGGCCCAAGTAGGCACAGTGAGAACAGGGTCCCAGAATCCCAAACTCAATTCTCAGCTCTGCAGGGTCCATGTGCACCAACTGGCTCAGAAGATGCAGTGATAGTCCCATACCCTGAGGCTCATGCCTACCTACATCTCAGGCATTCTAAAAATCTAGTCATCATTTCCATTTCTAAGTAGAGTTGAACACTCAATTCAATTTGAAACAAAAACACCTTGACAGACAATGATCGTTGCTTGTGGCCTTGGGTATCACTTCTCCTAAAAGTGTCAAATCTGACCAAAGATGAGATTGGTGGGCAATTCATGTGTAATATAAGACTGCTGGGTTTCCAAGTCTAAGACTTAAAGGAGGTTGCCTACCACAAACCCTCCTTGATAAGACACACATACAACTTGCATATCTGTTGACAGAGTAAGCCATAGAAGGAGCCCTTCTATCAGTGACTGAAGGCTGTAGGGATACAGTAACCACAAGAATAAGCACATTATCCTAAGAAGTCATGAATGCTATTAACAGACTTGTGCCAAACTTGAAACAATATGTGGGTGAGATGCCTGCCTTTTGTAGCCATTTCACTGAACCGCTCTCTTCATGAGGATTTTCTTCTTCATCACCACAGTGGGAAGCCACCTTCCTCTCTTAGAATATTCATTACATTTTCTTAGCCTTTCTTCAGATAGCTTGAGGCATATCAATAAAGACATGTCTTCTGTCCCTCACTGACTAGCAAACTCTTTTAAGATAGGGTAAGAGTCTTCATTTCCCTCTTTTCCACATCCTGGTTCATGTAAGAATCCATGAACCTCTTCAATGAGTTTGTGGCTGACTGGCTTTGAATAAATATTCATTCTGCCTAGTGAGGTAAAGTGGGTAACTGAGAGTATCCCAGCTTTAATCTGTTATCTTTGACTAGATCAGAAAACAGGCCTATTTCCTCTTAGTCCCTGGAACAGCTAAGGTACCCTGGTGACATAGCAGGAAAGGCTTTTGTCTGTTGGCTGAGTCACAGCAGCAGGCTGCTGTCAGATGGTTCTTGGTGTGTCCCAGGAGAAGAATTCACCAGTACACTCCTCAAGATGCAGTGGCTGGTTGGGAGGCTGGTGGCACAGCCCCAGCCCACTCCAATATGTCCGCACACAAGGACTCCACAGCGTCCAGCCGCTCTATCTGCACCAGTCTGGTGAGCAGTTCTGGAATGCTGTACCCAGCTGTGCTAATGCGGTCAAAGAGTTGCATGCCGTCTGTCATGCCCCCGATCTCATCCCTCTTCAACCCGAAGCTCTCAGCAAGATGGCGCCATGTTTTCACTATGGCCTTTTCAGAATTGTATGTGGAGCTCAGCATCCGGCTAGTCTTCTCTAGACAATCAAATGGCAGCTCCGTAGGACTGAGACCTGTGGAAACAAAGGGCCATGGTTGGATATCACAACCAGCAATCTGCAGAAACTCAGCAACATTAAAGATTATTTTTGAAAATGATGATAAAATAAAATAGATGCAGAAATACACACATCAAATGCAGGACTTTGTCAGACACATATGAAGCCTCTTCATGTACCTAATCTTCATAGTAATCTCTTACATGTAGAAAGTAACAGGCACATCAACTATTAGTGTACTCTTCTCCAGACCACTTTTAAGAGGCCCAAAAACATTCAATATAGGTTACCTGGGTAATCCTGTATTACGTGGAATCAAAGGGACAGTTTCATGTCCTTTTAGGGGGGCAATGGTCACCTTTATGAAAGGTGTTCTCAAAGACTGCATAAAACTGGTATGATCTGTCCAAGTCATTGTCTATTTCATGGTCTTATGGTTCTCAGCCCTAACTGTACATTAGACAACCTAAGAGCATTTTTAAAAACTGGTCTGTTTTTATTGATATATTTCTATTCTACATGGAATAGACATGTTTTCCCCTATTCTTCCTAATAAGCACAGCTAAAAACTGTTGGATATTATGTACAACACAAACAGAAGACGACTCTGGAAACTGGAAAGAAAAGACAGACAGACCAGCAGGGACCTTGGGACTAAAGAAATGGCACAGTGATAAGTTCCTGGGTTTTCCTTTGCCTCATTATCTGAGCAAAGAACTAAAGAGTCCAGAAGTCCAGAAATACCATAAACACAGGTGAAAATAGCCCCAACAAAAGCCTGTGTCTGTTAGGTAAAGTGTTAGGGGTGGGGGTGTGTGGTAGAAGTTTAACATGAAGAAAATGTTTTGACAATACTATTCCAGCCAAATAGCACAGAAAATAGTTTTGGCCAGAAAAGACTGAAAAGAAAGCCTAGACACCTACATTCATTGCACCATCCAGGTATATTAAGGAGCCTTTCTCATCAATAGCTGGTAAATTGCCTCCTCACCTCTGGTGGTGTTAATGAAGACAACTTGGAGAAATAGATTTTCATTATTCAACAATTAATGAAAAGGAGCTTCCATGGGGTCTCAAAGAAGATTGAGTGGGAACATGGACATCTATCTCCACCTGGTAATAATAAGGTGGCACCTTTTCTCTTGCCACATAAGTACAATAAGAAGGTTTTAATTAAGACCCAGGGTCTCTTAACATGACACAAAACTGTCTCAAATTCAATAGAAACCCACTCACCATGCCAAGCACCAGAAGTATCTCCTGTAAATACAAAGATAATTAACAGATGCCAAAACTGAGATGACAGAGGAACTAGAATTAACTGACAAAGACATTAAAGTACCTATCAAAAATGTTTCAACAAGTAATGATTGAAATAAATAAAAAAATAGAAAGACTTAGCAAATGTAAATAGAAAATGTAAATTTGGGCCAAATGGAAATGATAGAACTAAAATATACAATAATAGAAATTTAAAAATGCACTGACAGACTAAAGAGAAAGAGAGAATTGTAAGGTGGATAATGTAATAGACATTAACTGAAGAACAGAGAAAAAATAACGTAAGCTTTGGTTATCTTTGGGGCTATAAAAAAGGTAATGTATTTGTGACATGGAGTCTTAAAGGAAGAAAGAGGAAGAGACAGAAAGATTACTTAAAGAAATAATGGTTGACAGTTTAGTAAGGAGGCAGGTTATAAAAGCACCACACAAAAATCAAAGGTCTTCCTATACACAAACAACCAATCAGAAGAAGCAGAAATAAAAAAAAAAGTCCTTTTCAATTAAAACAAAAAGAATCAAATACCTGGGAGTCAACCTAACAAAAGAGGTAAAAGACCTATACAAAGAAAACTACAAAACACTGTTAAAAGAAATATAAAAAGACACCATGAAATGGAAAGACATCCCCTGCTCATGGATTAGAAGAATTAACATCATCAAAATGGCCATTCTACCAAAAGCAATATACAGATTTAATGCCATCCCAATAAAAGTCTCAATGACATTCTTCAAAGAAATAGAACAAATGTTGATGAGACTCATAAGGAACCACAAAAGACCTCGAATAGTCAAAACTTTCATGACTAAAAAGAAAGAGAATGGAGGTATCATAATCCCAAACTTCAAGCTATACTACAAAGCCATAATAATCAAAACTGCATGGTACTGGAACAAGAATGGACACACAGACCAGTACATTCAAATAGAAAATCCAGCTATAAACTCACAGGTTTATGGAAAACTAATCTTTGACAAAGGAGCAAAGAAAATACAATGGAACAAAGAAAGTTTGTTCAGCAAGTGGTGCTGGGAAAACTGGGAAGCTACATGCAAAATAATGAAACTAGATCACTACCTCACACCATGCACAAAAACCAACTTGAAGTGAATTAAAGACCTAGACATAAGAACAGAAACCATAAAATACCTGGAAGCAAAGATGGGCAAAAAACTACATGACATCCACCTCAGCAACATCTTTGAAGATACAGCACCCAACACAATGATTATAAAGGAAAGGATAAACAGACAGAACTACATCAAGTTAAAGAGCTTCTGTACAGCAAAAGAAACAGTACAAAAAACAGACAGACATCCCACTGACTGGGAAAATATTTTCTCACACAAAACTAGCAATAACAGATTGATCACAAAGATAAACAAAGAACTGATGAAACTCAACAAAAATAAACAACCCCATCAAAAAATGGGCAGGAGAGCTAAAAAGACAATTCTCCAAAGAAGAAATGCAGATGGCTAACAAGCATATGAAAAAATGTTCAACATCACTTATAATAAGGGAGATGCAAATTAAAACCACAGTGAGATACCACCTCACCTTAGTGAGAATGGCACATCTTCAAACAACTAGCAACAACAAATGTTGGCGAAGATGTGGAGAAATAGGAAATCTCCTGCACTGCTGGTGGGAATGCAAACTAGTACAACTACTATGGAAAACTATTTGGAGATTTCTCAAATTGCTAAAAATGGAGCTTCCATATGACCTGGCAATCCCACTCCTAGGTATCGTCCCAAAACACACAAAAACACTGATTCAAAAGATAACTGCACCCCCCATGTTTATTGCTGCTTTATTTACAATAGGAAAGACATGGAATCAACCCAAATGCCCAAAAGTAGATAAGTAGATTAAAAAGATGTGGTACATATACACTATGGAATATTACCCAGCAATAAAAAAGATTAACACATGCCTTTTGTAGCAACATGGATGGAACTGGAAGGAAAAATGCTTAATGAAATAAGCCAGAAATAAAAAGAAAAATACTGCATGGTTTCACTTATAGCAGGAGTGTAAGGGATCAGGAAAAAAAATATATAGTAATTATAATAAGGGAAAAAAGAACATCAACTAAAAGCTATAAACCAGAGACATTCTACAGGGGAGGAGAAAGGAACAAGATAAAAACTGGGGTAGGAAGAGCACATGGGACTGCAGTGATGGCATATGGGTGAAGTGGTGGGAAGTCCCATGGGGATTATAACTGAGATGAAAAAAATGTACAAATGAAGAAAAATGCAAGAAATATATATATATATATATATACATATATATATGTATATATATATATATATATATATATACATGTGTGTTTGTAAAACAAAAGATTTCTATACTTCATTCAACTAGCAAAACAACAAACACAGTAGACAATAGTAAGTTATGTATGTATAACACCATGAGAAACTACTAAAATGGTTACATAAAAGATGCACACAGTACTCATTAAATTCTTCACCCAAAGAACATCAAAATGAAAACTCTAAAATATATTCAAATGATCTGAAGAAAAGTGGGAAAAAGTCAACAAAAAATAAGGTACCAGTCTTAAACTCTAACATATCAATATGTATGTTAAATGATGTAAGTGGTTTGAATACCAATTAAAAGGCAAAACTTAACAGAGTAAATGTTTAAAATGACCCAATTACTATACAATTGTATACCATAAGAAATTCCATGTTAAGTATAGTTATATAGACAGACTGAAAGTAAAAGGATAGAAAAAATCATGTAATGCAAACTTTAATGAGGAAAGCAGAAATGGTTTTATCATCAGACAAAGTAGACTTTATTTGATATGATAAGTTGAAAAAAGGAAATTACCAGAAACAGAGAGGGACATTATATGATAAAAGCATCAATTCACTAAGAAGAAACAGCAATCCTAAATATGTATGCATAAACAACAGAGTGCTAAAATAATGTGGAGTAAAAACTGATAGAACAGAGAGAAGAGAGAAATCCTATAATTATAGTTGCAGGTTTCAATGCCTCCTCCTCAATAGTTAATAAGTAACTATCAGAAGGACATCAGCAATAATCCAGAAAAATTCAACATTAGCCAGTAGATTTCAACCAACATTTATAGTACATGCCATCCAACAACAGTCTCAATACACCAGCAGTGCTGCAAAATGGAAGCTTGCTGAATAGCCCAGACCTTAACCCTCAACAAAAGAATTTAAAACAACTGAAATTATACATAGAATGTATTCTCCTAATACAATGGAATCATACTATAAATCTATATTAATTTAGTTTATTACATTTATTCATTTTCCTACAGAATTAATGCATGCAAAATTAATGCATGCATTCTGTATTGTTCACACAGAAATACACTGTTTTCAGAAAGGTTTATTAGGTTCTTGTCAGTTCCCTGACTTTCCTTTTTAAAGAAAATTGGTTTGTATGGAGGGAGAGGTGGAGAGAGATGTGTTCTCTTCCCAGGAGGTTCTGGAGCCCTGCCTGCTATTCAGAAGGGCAAGCCACTGGAAGTCAGTTTTTGCTCAGTGTCTTACTCCTATTGTGAGGAGAACCACTGGCTTTGGGAATAACTGCACAGTACTGGCCCCCACTGCATTCTGGGAGCCCCTCTATTCAGCAGGCTTCGTGTTGTGAGATGGTTAGTGCATTTGTTGTGGTATGTGCTTCTAAAGTAATCCTTGGTCATAGAGGAAACCTCAAAGGCTATTTTTAAAAAAGATTTATTTATTTATGTATACAGAACTGGCGTACAGGCCAGAGGTGCAGGGGTGGTGAGAGG